ATTGAGTCATGATGCAATTATTTTTAAGGATTTTGGGAATTGAGTCAACAGCAAAATAATTTATGCCACATGTATAATACAAGCTATAATATTTCTTGTTATTTGTAGCTAGTAATTTATTTAAGCTTTATATCAAATTGAAATAGTTCAAATTAGAATTTCAACTATTATTAAAAGAAATATTAATTGGAATTAAATAAAATAAGGTAATGCTCAGTCTATACATATTATTGAAATTTATAAATTTTTGATACAATTGATATAATTATTTGATACAATTAATTAAGTTTTTATTAAAACATATAAATAATTGAAATATAATACAATTATTTTTAAATATTTTGGATTTGAATCAGTAGCAAATAATTTATATCACATATATAGTTCAGTCTATTGTTAGGTTGGAAAACAGCAAGTTAGTTGCTTTACCAATTCTAAAATAGAATTATTAAAGGTACATTAAGGCATGAAAGATTGATTTAGTCAGGACTTTCATTATTAACAAGCTTTTCTCTTCTTTTTCAACACCAGTTCTTCTTTTGATAATTCTGAGTTACGTTCTATAGCAGCAATTATTCTTTCCTAGATAGTGCGTACTTAAAAAGATAAGTTGTTAATTACAATATTTCTTTTCTGACACTTCAATTTTACTAATCGTTATGTTTATTAATTGTAATATTATTTTATCTCTATCTTAAATATCTCTTGAACTAACTCTATTTGTCTCTCTCTTGTTTGCTTTACAATTATGTTGCTATTTATATTATTGTTACTATTAGAAAACAATTAAGAGAAAAATAGACTATCAGGACTAGAATAAACTATGGGTAAGTTATGTAAGCTTCGATAATTATATTTTCTATGCTAATTACTAATGCTACTTTGCATTTTCAGGATACATGACATGGTAGTCACAGTACGTGACTATACCCCGTGACTTTTATAGGGCTAATACTATATATCTAAATATAAAAAAATTTTAATTAAAAAGTTATACAAGTGCTTTTGTTTTATTTTATTTAATTACTATATAACTTGTTTTTGGTGATTATTATAATACCAATCAAATAATTGTTATATTATTACAGAATTTTTAAATATTACAATTTCAATACTTATTAAATTAATATATAAATTAGCTTCTTATAAAAAACAATACTTAATAAGTTATAATATCAGATATTATTTTTAGATCAGTTCAATTGTCTTTATCTAAAATTAAACTAATATCTTGTGATATGATTTATGAAGTACCAATTATTGTACTATAGACTTACAGATTTTTAATTGAAAAGTTTTTTATAAATATTTTAAAATTATATATACAGTACATAAAATGCAAATCCATTACTTTATAATATGATAAGATTTTTTAAAAAAAATTTAAAAATATAATTATATAAATATGTTAAATTATAATTGATTGTCTTTATTTTAATCTATTAAAAAAAATATTTTTAATTAATAAAATTATAAACTTTAATATAGAATGAAAATTTTGAATTTTATTAAGTAATTGGATCAATGAAGTATACAATATATTTATATATTTGAATTTTAAACATGTAATTAATAATTATTTCTTTAATAAGATTATAAGATAAGTTTTATTTTAACAGTAAAAAGAAAAGTGATATGGATAATAAAATATTTTTAAAAAATCAAAATTTATAATATTATATTTTTTCATAAAAACAATTACGGTATATATTAAGAATGTTATATACTGTAAATAAATTACGGTATATTAAAAGCGAAAGGTTAATCTGATTAATCAAATTTTTATTTCTTTATAAAAACATTATCATGATCAGATTACCAGATTAAAAAAAGATAGAATAAGCAATAAGTCGGCAAAATATTTAAGAAAACTTATTTTAATTTGAATATTGCATTTTGAATAGTTAAAAAATTTTTTTAAATTAAATATAAGGTTTATATTTGATATTCGATTTTTTTTTTTTTAATTAAGATTATAAAAAACATTATATTATCTAGATAAAAATTTGTTAAAAAAAATCCCCAAAATTTTTACGAGAAAAAATAAAAACATTTATTTCAAGTTTATATTTGAGATATTTGTGCAGTATAAAGAAATACTAATATTTTTTCTCATAAAAAATGATTTTGAAGCATCAGATAAGTTTGTTTTTTTGATTGTTCGTATTCAATATTAATCCAATTGAGAACCCGTGGATTATGGTAAGAAAAAAAAAGTAGAAATAAATTAATAATATATTAGCAAATAAAATATTTGATAAGAACTTGCGTTTTAATTCAGTATAATGTTAAAAAAGAAGGGAAGCATAATAGATTTTTGAAAGCAGGTTTTGGTTTATATTATGAGAACAAATGTCAATATTTTGTTAAATAAAAAATCAAATGAATAAAGTATTAAAAAAATTCATTGTCAAATTTTTCTAAAAAAAAACTCATTGTCAAGATAAAACAAACAAACGTTCATTAATATACGTACGTACAGTATTTGATATGCAATAAAAAAAATACAAATGAAAAAGGTAATTTAGCAACGCTACGTATCGCGGTCATTATTAAACATATAACTTGTGCGAGAACTATGTGCAAGTTGTTTTTTGCATTTCTTTTAAAATGCGTGTTTTTACTTTAATCACGTCATGTATACGTAACACGTGTATACATAAGTGCATGTACAGTACATACTTTAATGACATGTACCACAAAAATCAGCATGAAACGTACGCATCATCCTTTTTTTTTTTCTAGAATGTGTTCTTCGCTCCCTGTTGAGATCTTACAAAAGATTTTTTCGTACTTAAATGTTAGCTCTTTGCACAGTTGTTTACTGGTGAACCGGTGTTGGTGTGTAAGCGTCATCCCATTGCTTTGGCGAGAGCCATTTGATTCTTTCGATTACCACAAAGTCCAAATATGGTATAAAAGCGCCAACCTAATAAGAACGTATGTTTCTTGTCTACCCGACGAGATAAAAAATTCGTTAATGAATGAGAACGTGATATTGCCACATGCGGCTCTGATAAAACCAACTTTTGAATATTCATCATTCTTACAATGCTTGGATTATATATTGCTATTTCAAGCCACAGGAATTTGGATCGCCGAAAACGAAAGGGTCACCCCCCGAAAAATACGCAAAATAACTTTTCGTCATTACCTTGTGGCGGAAGAGTTGTGTAAGTTATTCTTTCGATCGTCCAATCTCCGATATCTTAAATACGATAAAACACATGATCTGCCCAATTCTTCGGATGTAGAATATATTCCGCTCAGGCATCTACCAGAGGCTGAAACTTGCTTGTCAAGATTGGAGAAATTCTGTGTGATGGGTTCTGTACCCAACGTGATCATATCAACCATTGCACAAGTTGCACATAATCTGAAAGAGATAGAAATCGAAACATTAGGAGACAACGATGAAATCTTGGCCACATTAATTGGATCTCAACGAAATCTAAGATCACTTATAATATATGCCGAAGATTTTCTACCAACAGTCGCCAAAGCTCTAAAGCATCGGGTTTCCAATTTGAGAAGTGTTAAATTAGATTGGGAGCTTTCGCTACCTCTGGATTTGTTTGTAGATTCAGTGGATCTCGAAAAATTCTCGGTTCATCAATACTCCAGCATAGCTAGAAGGGAAACCTTTGAGGCATTTTCAAATGCCGAATTCCGAAAACTTCGAAAGTTGCATTTAATAACGCCCAGACTGTACTTGGATCAAATGTCCAAATTGATTAGAAATACGGGTGGAAGCTTAAGAGACCTTAACATATATTTCGAGAAAGTGAATGGCATAGAACACTGCAAGGAGTTTATTCATACTATTGGGAAAGCATGTCCAAATATCCAAAAACTTCACATATTTGTTCCTGATGAGGCGATCCCACTCTTACCTTCGCTTCTCATGTCATGCAAGCAACTTCGAATTCTAGAATTTCTAAATGGTTGGCTGAACACTCTTCACGCATTTGACGTTTCGAAATATCTGCCAGAAATGGGCAAAGTTTTGCCACCTAAATTAAGTAGTCTCACCATGAGCGGCGACTGGGTGTTGACGGCAGAAGCGTTCAGGAAATTTTTGGAGTATTGCGAGATAAGACTGGAGTCGGGAAGAATGATCAACTTTAATTTTGGAAGAGAATTGACAATTGAACATGTGGTTATTGTTGAGGAGTATGGAGCCAAGGGTGTGCTGAACGTGCATCCCAGCACAATACTGGGTAAAAATTTGAAACTCTTTCAAAGACGGATTAAACAGTGGAACAATATTTAATAAGTAGTAGCAATTCCCGATTACTTTCCTTTCTATTACAGTATCGGAAGGAATCAATATCTTTATAATTTAACGCACGCCGATTTTTATTGTTTGAAAAGCCTGCTATGAGAACGAACAAATGCATAGACAAATCATGTACCAACTAACATGTTTAATTTTTCTAAATTTACCGACCTGTTTCATATTGCTTTAAAGACGATATAATCTCACCTTTCGCTTTATATAGAAACTTTAATAATAAATTAATAAAGAAAAATGAGCACAATATGCCACTAATTAATACATATACAGTATTGCTGTGGGCAATAAATATTTTTTTCAGTATCATTTTTTTATAGTGGCAGCAGCGTTAATCATTCCCATCAATTTTTCCTTACACACACCACCCACCAAATATTCATCGTCATATAACGCTTTGCCCATATGAATATTCGTGATTTTATGCTCCATAGACGAAGAAAATTTTGTGCTCGCTGATACATGAATCTCTTTGAGTTGTACCGAAGATAGAATCCTTGATATGTTGGATTCCCTGACACCTAGTTTTTTTAATAAATTGGTATTAGTTAAACCTCACGAAGGATAAGTTCGTGTTACACTCCATTGCCAACCTCCGCCCGGCATTATAATGATATGATCTCCGGAATGTTTCAGCAATTCTTTAATGGTTTCCAACCCTTCCAGTACTGTTGTGTCATGACCACTAGTCAGTCAAGAAAATTCAGTAAAGCGTATAGACGAACAATGATTCGCGTAGTGGCAATCACAAAAAAAACAAAAAAAAAAGGAAACGGGACATACCTTGTGAGTATTCTTTGAATGCCTCCAATTCTTATAATATCATGAAGTGCTTTTAGATGATCATTGGTCATATCAAAAGCTCGGTGGAAAGTTACTACCGAATTGCAAAATCTCAATATACAGTACAATGCGAGTTTTTCGCTGCGCAGGCAAGCATGACTAACCTTTCAACGGTTTGGCAATCTCAACCAATCTATAAAAAATGATTATATAAATTTAATAAAGGAAGTAAGAAACGGAAGAATTTTTTAAAATAAAATTTTTTTGTAATGATTACTTTGTCACTCTTTCGACATCGACGCTGCCATCAGGCTTTAATATTCCAAATACAACTCCATAGACACCCGACAGTTTCTTCACGTGTTCTAAATCCAAGCGCATCACTTCAAATTCCTCTTCGCTGTAACAAAAATCGCCACCTCTTGAAGGATGAAAATGGGAGATAATCATTAAATGGAAGGAGAAGAGGCTAGAACTTTAAATAACTTTCTACCTTGGTCTAATCATGACCTAAAAGTCAAAAGTCAATTTTTAGCGAAAAATTGGGAAAGAAAAGAATGAGCCAAAAATCAATTACCATCACAGGAATTTTTACTCTTTTAAGAACGGCTGTTATCATTCCTGAATTTCCAAAATTTTCAATGTTAATTACCTGGATCCAACATCATCCAACATCACATCGACGTCGACATCCGACGTAAGACCAACCTGAGCTAGGCGTCGTTCCGCCTTCTCCCAGGTTAGCACATAATTCAATTCGTGATGCTCCTCCATCCTCTAAAACGTCCAATTGTCTCTTTCAGTAAGCCGTATACTGTACTGTATTTCCCTTTCAAAGAAATAAATTATACGACTCACCTGCTGTTACAGCTGACATCACTGAATCCACGCAAACCTGTTTTAATTCAAGTACCAATTAGGAATGTACATAGGTTGTGTTTTGCTTGGAAAGAATTATCCTACTGTAGTACTGTATAAACTCGCACCTCAAATAATGTAACTTCGTCTGACATTGGATGAAAAACGTCGATCAGTAAAACGGCATTTCTGATTTCCAGCGTTACACGCGCAATAGATTCAAACAATCCGATCAGCCAAGATCATGATATTGGCCTATAGAGAAACATATATGGTATATTTTTTCGGTAATATATTTGAGCACGGTCAACGGGTTTTGCCTAAAAAAATAATATTAAAGTCTGACCAAATCTTCAGTGATAAACAAAATACCTTCTTTTTCGATAAATACAGTAATGTTTACCACATCTAAAAATCTTAAAACAGGAATAAAAATAAATAAATAAATAGTCATCGATGTCGGATCGAAATCATAAGATTTTTATCAAAAACGCGCGTTTTTAATCAATTGTTTCATTACGTTCCCGATCCTAAAAAGTAAAGAGCCTGTCACTGTTCCTGATGTCCCCTCAATGAATTTACAAACATACCCTTAAAATTTTATTTTTTAAAGTATTTCTACATCGAGGGACCTGCAGGGTACTAATAATCAATCGTTCATTCTTTTTTACTGACCGATATTCGCGATTCAATCAATCGCCTCCTATTTATGGAGCTAGATGAGTCGATACCTCCCGGAAAGTATAAGCCGAGTGCACAAAAGCCGGTGCAAGAGCACAAAGACAAGGCCTTGGGTTGCACCTGGCAACATCCATATCCGTAATAGTATTATGGCCTAAATTTGTTACGAGACAGATTATCAATATTACGTATCTACGCATACAACTGGTGTACTGTACTGTACTGTGTCAAGAAACTTCAGTCTGGAATAAAAAATTTCGTGAACAAGAAACGGATGATTATAAAACGGTTAGTTAGGAATCCAAAAAAATCCAATAATCCACTTTCCTAAATAATTTTGGTGCGACAAACTACACGTAGTTACTGTACAGTATTATAAAGACTTGGTTTCTTCGATTAGTAATGTTCACGTTTCCCTTTGGTGCATTTGACTTGATTCCAAAAAGTTAGTTCTTCCTTCGATGTGGTCATTCTACATTTAAGATTGAAAATATTTTCAATTGAATTAGAATACCATTCATCTTCACCCGATCCCTACGTGCGTGTGTATATACGTGCATTTTTTCTCTTGGTTGGTAACGTGACCTGGAATCCTCCTTTCTCCCGATTTCTTTCTTTCTTTCTTTCTTTCTTCTCTCTTTCTACCCGCACTCCTTGCTTCGTGAAAATCCCCGCGAAAGAACCTAATTAATTAATATTAAATTACTCGATGATAAATTTTCTTACTTAAATCATTCGGTTTTTATTCCCCTTAACCATTTATCATTTTTTTTAAACGAGTATTTTATTCTTCCTTCTTATTTATGATGTTATGTCGACTTTGATTAGCCATTTAATTGCATAATATAATTTCTGCCTCAAAATTCGATTTATCTACTCAATGAGGAAAAGATTCCATACACTGTAAAGAAATAAACTCGCGTCTACGTATTTGGTTTCGATTCAAAAAAAAAAACATGAAATCCGCCTTATGCTTTCCGATATTAACTACGCTTATATGTCTAGTGTGTGCATTCTGGATGCTCTATACCACCATTGTCAAGTTCACCTATCTCAGAATGACATGGTATGCATTACGTGCTTTGAAATTTGCTGCACCGTGATCTCGTAATCTAACCAAAATTATTTCCAGTCTAATGTTGATCGTATCGACGTTGGTGCTCTGTGCTATAAACTTTCTTCGTCATGTGTATTCGGAATTTACCGCGTCCTACTACTGCTTCTTCTACGAATTATTGTCTGCTATGCACATAACGATTATATGTTGTGGTCTGTTGATAACCGGTCAGAAGCTTTATCCACCTTCCCCGTTAAAATCTCCTGAAACTGTAAACAAAGAAATTGAAGAGAGTCAAGAAAATGGTGATGTTGACATAGAACTGATGGATATTTCAAAGCACACCAATGGTGCGACCTCTACATCTGGTCCTGTAAAGAATTCAAGATCGAATTGTTTACTTAATTTGTCGACGCCCTTTATCCATCCAACGTTAACTACTATGCCCAACAGCAAAAGTGTAAACAATAGCGGTCAGATCAGATTTTCACAGAATAGGAGGAATCCATTATTTTCCATAACCATTTTACTTATCATCATTCTGAATGCGATCTATGTCACAATCTCAATTTTGATATTCAAAAACTTGAATGGAAAAGTGCCCGGTAATATGGATGCGACTGGTGATGATAATGAAACAGAAAAGGTGCTATTTAACAACTACCTAACATTAAATGTTTACGTTATACAAGGTTCAATGGCATTGGTGACGAACACATGCGCTTTTTTTTACACTTTCACTCCGGTGATATCATTACGCTTCAGAAAGCGTCGCCAAATCAGAGAGAACGTGTCATTTCTGAAGAGAAAAATGAGGGCAAACAATAGAAATGGATTTATTAAGGAAAATAACAAAATCCCGTCCACTGCCACCGATGACGTTATTCCAGAGAACATCACTCGTGATTTTCATGATATCACACAAAACTATCACAATTCTCTATTCACCACCAATTCCCACATAAATCCTCATAATAATGCGGTAGGCACTTGGTATCTATCATTAATAGGCTTACTCTTGGTCGTGCACATATCATTCTACACGACACTGTATCTATGGGAGATGCCTTTGATAAATTCGATAGAATGCATATTGAGACTGATGGTGGCTCTTGTTTACGGAATGCCACCGCCAAGGAGTGCTTTGCGATTTTTCATGATACATTGTCAAAAAGAGAACATCATATCTACTGACACTTTGAAGGATGAGTGCGAAAAAGATTTTATGAATACGGAACGAGACGTAAGGCCTAAGAAAAATTTTAAGAGAGATGAGAATGACATTCGTGACGACCACGACAACGAAGTTCATGAAATCAACGGTGAAAATTCGTCAAGGGATAATCCACTTTCATCAAGTTCTAGGTGGGATGAGATTATGTTTCGGTGAACATAAACAAGACTTACTGTAATTGGAGCAAAAGTTATGAATGATATAAGACCCTTATTACAGTAACAGGATTTTTTACTTTTATATGCATACTGTACATACTGTATGTATGTACTATTGCCTCGGGAAAAAATTAAATTTTTTTATATATTCAATAAGATAATCGTCATTAATTCTGCTTGGTCTATTAAAATCAAGTTTTCTTTATTAAATTCCACATTTAGTTTATGAATAAAAATAAGATAATCATTATTATATTTTTTATTAAAAATTAGATAATCCATTAATTAATCGATGAGACTGTACCTTTTCAAAATCGAGTACTGTTTAAATAATAATAAAAAAAAATTGAAAATGTCAATAATCAATACAACGCACAATATATTGTATATTGTCTTATATCATATAATGAGATTATTGGTTATTAAGTAAATCAAACTTCAATCATACGTAACAATATATTTTTATTGTTTGAATTGTTATATATTTTTTAAATGTCAATCAAATAATAAATTTTCCACATGAATTTTTATTGATAAATTTGCATGTACAGTAATTGGTTATGATTCAACAGTCAAATAATTTAATTTGAACTGATGTATAATGTCAAATAATGATAAATAGTTTTTTTAAGCATATTCTTAAAATAATATAAAATCCATTAAGAAAAAATAAAATAAATAAATAATTTGATAATAACGAATAATAATTTTTTCAGAATCTTTTTTTATTGATATAATAAAAAATTATTATATTGTATAATGAATATTATAATATTAAAATATATTGTTATACGTATATATTAATATATTGTTTGTTAAATGTTATCGTTTTAAACAAGTAAAATAATAATATTTTTATAAAATACAAAAATCAAAATTTACAATTTTATATATTGAAATTTTTGATTTCTTTTCTAACAAACTTGAAAATTACCAAGAAAAATAATTTTTCATTTTAATAATTTAATCTATCCAATATTTCAAATAATATCAAATGTATTGATTTAAATGATTAAATATTATAATTTCAAGTTCATTTTTCAATTCTGCTCTAATATTAAAATCCTAAAATAAAATAAACAAAAATAAATTTCAAAAAAAAAATACTAAATAAAAATATAATACATATATATATATATTAATTTTTTGTTAAATAAATAATAAAAATATTACAAAAAAAAAACTCTTTCTGAAACGCATCCACATCTGAATAAAATTACCAAAAAAGGAAACAAAAATTTTTTCTTCAAAAAAAACCGTAAAAGACCCTGGAGGGTCGTCCTCATCCTCCAAGGGTCAACCCATCGAACCAACTCACACCTTACTTGATGTCCTTATCACTGATGTCGACAAATGCCTAGCTGTAATCTTTCACAAAAACAACAATACCAACATTGTCTACACCACTAACCCTACTGCCAACATTCGCCTCCCAAAATTTGAAAACCCTCCAAAAGCATGGCTAACACCAGTATGCCTCCAGGAAGCTGACCGCGAAGTAATCAAAGTAATCTCAGTGTCCTTCGAAGTACACAAAAAAAGACTAGGGAATCATTACACTGAAGTTAAAACTAACATTTTGAATCCTATGTCACTGGAAACAATGAACTCTTTTTTCGAATACCGCCACACCTTTAACTTATCTGACAATGACAAAGCTGGAATTATGAAGGAGCTTCTCAAACAAAAACTCACATACAGACTTTATGTCTCGTGGAATAAAATCGACATTAATATTGACGAGGCAGCCAAATCTTTCTCCCTGGAGCGAAAAACCGAAATACCCATACCCCCTCCAAACACTCCAGCTCTAACTGGGGAAATGATCAACAACAATAACAGTATGCAAATTGATTGTGATGATGATACAACACATGCGCTTACCCCTGAGTACAATGTCAATCAAACCAGCCCTCAAGCAAACACGAGCATCACTCCACAGGTGCATGCAGATCACTCCACCAATAA